AATGTGGCTAGGCTTGGGCTTAAGCGGTTTCAAGACCTCCAAACTGGAAAAAAAAGATTAGTTTGGCAGATAGGCGGACTGGGTGGAAAGGGAGAAGAATCCTAGATGTGAGTCACATTTACCATGCGCAGAATAGTAAAATGGCCAAAGTATCACATACATCTTTTTTCTATGCTTACCACTTGACATTTGAAACCAAAAACAATTCAAGGTGCACTGATCATTTCAGTGGTGATATTTGTGCATCTATGAGCAGAGATTGAAAATTACTTAGGTCAGTGGTCCAGTACTTGCTATATTTAGTCTGAGAACAATGACAAGAAGCAACTTCTAGCCTAAGAGACCAATGATAGATTCCAGATCCAGTATCTTGTGAACCACTGGGGCTAGAAATGAATACTGTATCCCACAGTGTATTCTGCTTCCTAGTAGTATACCTCATTATTTTCTTGTCCTGGCAGGTCATGAGAAACTAGGGTGACCAGACAGCAAGTGTGAAAAATCGGGACAGGGGGTGGGGGATAATAGGAGCCTATATAAGAAAAAGACCCCAAAATCGGGACTGTCCCTATAAAATCGGGACATCTGGTGAACCTATGAGAAACTGATTCATAAATTCACACAATTCTGATTACCATTTTGACTTTAGGCATCCAGGTCAATTCTGACTTGATTTTAGTGATTGCCATTTTGAGAAATGTCCCACAGTGTCACGGGCACTGATTGGAGTCACCTGGGGTGGAATGTCTGGTCTCATGGCTGACTGGACAGTTATGGCCCACTGTCTTAAAATAAGCCATTTGACTGGTTGATTATACTACCTCTGCAAAGACCCACTTACTGGACCTCCGTCTGTGGGGATGGTACTTAATGCCCCAATTTAGCAAAGCACTTAAGTATAGTTTAAATTTACCATGAGAACTTGAGTCATTTCATTGAGTTTGTGGAATTGAAAGAGGTAATTTTAAATTTAATTTGATCTGAAAATTAATTTGATCTGAAAAATTACGATATATATTTGGTTTAGAGAAACAAGAAATGGTAGGCCAGCTCTTACTAATTGTTTCACTTACTGCTAACTCTCGTGTGACTCCCAGTATTTAGTTACAGGGGTTCTTTTGCTTATGTTAGGGCACACCGTGTTCAACACCAAGCAAAATAATCACAATTATTAACCATGGCTATTTTATTATTAAAAAAAGGAAAAGAAAACATTAAACAACACAAATGACTGAACACAAATGATAAACTGGTTATTTCTATTACAATCTCTTCTTTAGCTCTTATTGTGGAGAGCTTTTAACAGAGATTACAACCCTGAATGTGTGCTTTCCTTTTCCTGTATTAAGACCAAAGTGTATTGTTTCCCAAAATGATTGTGACTCCATTTTTTAGTATATCCTTTAATAACTAAGAATGTGTATAGCTGGGCAAAGGAACTTTGTTTCAGGGAAGGTAGACCTGCTGGTTATTAATAAATAATCAGTGAGTTTATAGTTGACAAAGTAAGTGATCTTAATTACATTCTATTAAACCAAAGAAAATATTTAAATCATTCATCAGAAGAAGCTATTTAAGGAGCTGTCTTAAGGTAGGCCAGTTAATCAATATTCTGAATGTCCAATACAGTTACATCCCATTGTTTCTCTGTTTACCAGTGTTTAACCCCTTGTTCTCTGCAGTGGTACCTGGCCTAACCATCTGGTGATTAATAGGAGAAACTGTTAGTCTTTTAAGTTACAACAGCATTTCAGTATTCCAATGAAATCATTACAAGAGTTTTAAATCTAATTCCTTGGCATTGTTTTAGTTAACCTCCTCTCACCAATCTATGCTGATGTTTTGGAGAGGTTTCCTTGGGTTGGTTTCTTCTTGAGTCTTCTCTGTTTTTCTTATCTGTCTGTAGCAGCTTGCTTGTAGTGATGAACGGGATTAGTTGTGGAGTGCTGTCTAATCAGAGTAGCAGGGGGTCTGAGTGTGGGGTCACTTCAGAATTATTTAAAACCTCCTTATTTTCATGAAGTTATAGGTAAATGCTCCTCTTTTCAGGCTTGTTTAGATTCAGATTGGTTGCTGTCACTCTTTCATTGGCTCCATGCCTTTGGCATTGGTTTAGGTGACGCTTTCAGCTCCTGAGGAAGCATCGTTTTATGCATATGCAAAGTTTCTTTAATTGCCTTTATTCTTGTGGCAGGAAAGATCCAGATAACTTGTAAAGTTAATGTTAAGTATTTCTTTTTATTTAGTTTGTTTTCTGAGATATTCTTTTAATTTTATCCGAGATTGACAGGAAATTAAATTCTGTTTCTAAAAAGTCCACACCCTCCTCCTGTTCTTTATATGAGAGTTAGTCATTCTCAAAACAGTTTTAAAAATTAAATAACTTGTATAAGGATTTGAGCTTAAGCTGTTGCTTCTATGTGACAATTTTTGGAAAGATGATTTTTCTCATCTTCCTGAGTGGATTGAAAAAATTTTGAGCACTGCCAGTAAGTAATTAATTTCCCATTTATATAAATATTTTATACTTAAACAGCTGCTTACATTAGTAATTAGTTTAGCATCAAATAGCACTCCTATATTTGTACATAAAGCATCTTATTATTCCTATAACAATGATATCAGGCAGTTACTATATGAGGCCTACATTTAGATACAAAATATTTGCAAATGTTCATATTAAAAGAAGCTTAGGCCATCAATCAGCATTTGAGAAAAAAACACAGGTTTTCACCTTTAAATGGAACATAAGTTGAAAGTAACTAGTATTTTCTGTAAAACATTTCCTACCAGAAATATTTGCCAAGTTTGAAGAACATTTATGGTGGGAAATGTTTTACAGAAGGTATTGGAGCAATATTTAATTAAAATAGGTAGTGATGTACATTTTGTAATTTGGTTATCTGTTATTTGTGAGGTTGTGTAGCTTGTTAATTATTTGCTGTGTGCGATTCTGTTCTCTTTCTGTATTAGGGAATGTTGAATTATTGCATGGACAGGGGCTTGTTGGTTTTCATTTGTGGCGTGGATAGTCCTTACACAGGATCATTAAATTATAAAACTAATTTAACTGTTGAGAATAGGCCATTTCCATCTTGATTGAATTGGCCTCGTTAGCACTGACCCCCCACTTCGTAAGGCAATTCCCATCTTTCATGTGCTGTAATATATATACTGCTTACTGTATTTTTCACTCCATGCATCTGATGAAGTGTGTTTTAACCCACAAAAGCTTATGCCCAAATAAATTTGTTAGTCTCTACGGTGCCACAAGGACTCCTCGTTGTTAAAGCTAATTTAAGTATCAGTTGAGGAAGGAAGTTGGATGGTTTGAAGTTGGGCGGATTATTTTATTATACCACAAGTATTGGTGAAACTCAGTGAGAGAGGTTGCCATGATTTTGCTTGGGTTTGGCTCTAACTAATTACATGGGAACAGAGCTTTAACAACTCATGACCTGAGTCAAATGGACAGACCTGTGAGGCTGAGAGCTAATTTAATCTGGGAACAGTGCAGCACACCTTTGATATTAAGATCAGGTGACTTATGTTTAATTTGGGTTTAGGGGTTACCTGCGGTCAGGTGAGCAATGCTTTCCCCCCTTTGCTGTGGGCTGCTTACTTTTTTGTTTTATGGTGGCTGTTTCCAGTGAAGCTGAAGTCACTTTGCCATATTCTCTGGAATTGTTGTCATTCTACTTGACAACATAGCTGAATTATTTTATGGAAGTAAGTGACGCCCACATTTTATGATCCAATATTTTGACTGGTCGTGTCTAGAAAAGCTCAAGTGAACCACTGTGCGTACTTTCATGGTTAATGAACTTTTCCAAGAGATGATCCTGGACCAGTGATCAGACTGTCAACTGACAGTTCAAATTTTTTTCTATTATTTGCCAGTTTAACTCCTACTTTCAAAGTACTTCTTATATAGTTTGGCTGTTGGACCAATCTGAAAACATTCATATATGGAATAGGGTGACATACTTGCTGATTTTCACCTGACCAAAGCCACATGTTTATTCTGGATAGAAGATATCAAATGCAACCTAACACTGCCATAAACACGTAAAGTGAAATAGAAGCTGATTGTGCACACACATCACATATGCTATTGAATCCAAAAATTACAAGCTAATTAACATCTATGGTAAATCTGTGAAGTAAATAACAAAATGCTAATTCATTTTTATATGATACCATGTGCTGCTAAATTAGGAAAGGGAGTATAATCTTCCTGCATTACAGTAATCTTAAATTTTCAAGCTGCAATAAAGAATGTGATACTACCAATGATTTTTCTTCTCACAGATTTGTTGTGACTAGACTTTAATAAAAATTTTTAAAAAAATTCATTGAAAACAAAGATTGAAATATTTCCAAATACAGTATTTTCATAAACAATATGGAATAAATATTGAATTTATGAATGCATATTTCTTTGAATTATAAACTGATATAAGTGTAATGATTTATGATCAGAATAAACTGTCTCATTCCTGCAACTTAACTACAAAGAACAAATATGAAAAATGCATCTTAAATTCATATTTTTCGCTTGAACTCGTTTTGTGAAACATTCAAAGAAAATAATCGTGTATGAAAGTTTTGCTGCTTTGGTGTATGTGTTAGTCTTACTTAGAAATAAAAGTAGAAATAAGTATCTGCATTTCTTTTCATTGGAATAACTGTATACAGATATAATTACATACAGGTATTGCCAAAATCTAGAAATTCAAAACAGTATTGGTGACTAAAACATTCTTAAACTACAATTTATATTATACTAATCAGTTTTTAAAACTAAACGTAAAATAAATCACTTTCTTTTCTTAAAAGTAAATCAACTCCTAGTTTTTCCTCATGTTGTTTTACACTGTATTTTATATTAATAACCATATTTAGTCTCTTTTCTTTCAGATATTTTGTCCATGCAGAATTATTATTGTTTCATAACTGTAGCGCTAAACATTTAATCCGTTTCTTTGTGTACATTTTAGGTATGCGATCCCCCCAGAACACGGAAAACGGCTTGAAAGACTAGCTCAAGGTAATATTTTCAACATTTCTAATCAAAGATGTTTGTTTCAAAGGTCCTTGATTTTCAGGAGTTTCTTTGATTTCAGGTAAAATAATTTTACAATCTCAGCTCTCCTGATTTAATATGGTTTCATCCTTCTTAAAATGGTGGCATCTAAAATGCCTGAAACATGGTAGCTGAATATTATTCAAAACATTTGTGTGTGTGTGGGGGGGGAGAGTAGGGAGGGAGAGAGGAGGAATTTAAAAGCAATTGAGGCTTGGTTCTTAAAACTTAATATTTTTCTTGACTTATTTTTTTACTATATTATAGATACTTGTTTTGTCTCCAGATTAAAGTTGAGAATTATGGATAAACAAATAAATAATTAGACCCATTTCTGGTACTGGTACCACATGAGCTGTAGCTCTTTGGGATGATATTTTCACCAATTAAATTTGAAATAGAGTTAAGCATGTTTTAGTCAGGTGCTGTAGGCCAAAGTTATTTCTGTTTATAGGTTCAAATATTTGTTTTAAAGAGCATGATCAGAGGCAAATTACCAAAAGTGTATGTACATATTTGCCTAAACCCAAATTGTGTGTGCAAAAGAATCTGATGCAGATGTGCAAGTAGGGCATTTGCACGCACACATACAATTATGCATACATTTGGGTTTAACTCTCCCTTGAGTTAATTCTACACTAATCCCTGAGAACAGTAATATGTGGCATAGCTGAACTGAATTATTGACACATAATACCAATGTCCTGTATATTTGTGATCATTAAACCATGGTACCATGGCCAAATTCCATCTTGGCTAATTACTTTCTACCTACTTAAATTCCCCTTGTAGTTCCAGTTGAGAGACCTTTCCTCATTTTCTCCTTTCCGAATCCCATTATACCTTATTGTTGAGGCCTGCTATTTACCACCATAGAGTTCGCTGAAGTTCATTTGTGAAGTGAGTGATCCTTAGTATAGGAAGGACCGGCAGTGTCACCTATTATTGAGGTTGCCTGACACTTCCCATTATTGGACCTTGTGTTCAGTTACTTATAACTTGGCAAAACTTTTACCATTTGGTCTGAATTTTTCCATATTTCATGTCTGCCTCAGGCTGGTGGTTGTTGTGGTTTTTTTTGTTTATTTGTTTGTTTGAAATGAAAAAAACACACACCAAGCATAAAGGTTGAGCCATTTGCAAGGAGGCTAGAGAAGCAGACGTTGTTTTGCCCATGTTAAAGTCTTGACTTTTTTTTTAAATTCTCTAGTGCATCCAGATGGTTGAGCAGAGACATGAAATTTGTTAGGGTGTGGGGAGTGGCCTTTGTGACAGGGATGTGCCTTTTGCAGTCCCTGTGAAAATTTGCCCAAGTTGTAAGCTTTTACAAAAAATAAAATAAAATTGCAGCTTGCATATGCTCAGTAGAGACTTCAATTTAAATAGGTAAAATCTTTGAAGATTCCGTTCACGTGAGAGACAAGCTTTTGAGCTACACAGAGGATGACTGGAGAGTCATTTCTCACTCTTTCCCTGGCCCAATGACTATTCATTGCCATTATGAATGACTAGGAATGGCCACCATGAATGTCAATAATTGTTGTTTGCTGGGTGATAGCTGTGCTGGTGTCAGGATATTAGAGAGATGAAGTGGGTGAGATAATATCTTTTATTGAACCAACTTCTGTTGGTTTCTTTCACCAACAGAAATTGGTTCCATAAAAGATGTTACTTCACCCACCTTGTCTCTCTAATAAACAGTCATTGAGCCAGGGAAAGAGAATGAGAACGATTCTGTAGCTGGTTGTTGGGACACTTACCTAGGATGTTGGAGACCCAGGTTCAGGCTCCAATGACTATTAAATTACTTGTACAAAGCGGAACAGCTTCAACAGGAGAGATTGAGAATGACTGATACCGGAATATTCTCTAGACTTGTGGTTATTGCACTCACCTGAGAGATGAGACCCATGTTCAAATCCCTTTTTTCTCATCGGGCAGAGGAGGGAATTGAACCCAGGTCTCCCACTGGGCTAAAGGTTATAAAAGAGGCTGCTGTTGCCGCCGCCGCCTTCTCAATATGAATTCACAAATAGTTTTGGGTTGCCAAAACTGCATTTTCACTCAGCTCTACTTGTGTCAGGATTATCCTTTTATTATTGAAAATTCAGCTTTTTGAATGGCTGAAACAGGCAGGTAAAGACTTTGCATTTTTTCCCTCTTGTGTTGGGCTTTCTCTTAAGGCTCGAGCCAAAGCCTATTGAAGATGCTGGGAAGACTCTTGTAGACTTCAGTAGTCTTTGGATTAGGTCCTAAGAGATACCAGTCCTGTAGACTACATAAGAAGTTTATTCATCCCAACATAAAATTTGGCATTGGCTACTAGTTTATCAGACATTAAAGGTGACTATCCCACCACATTTTTCACTTGTTTCGGTTAGTTCAATGCTCCGTCAAATTTAAAAATGAACTCCAAGAATTGCTTTCTTTTAAAATCATATGGACAATTATAGAGACTAGTTAGTTTTACACTTGTCGTTCTATTATGAAAGTTTTGGCATACTAATAACTATAAAGCTGGTATGTTCTAATAGCCCAATACATTATATTAATAATACCAACATAATTGTAATCTTGAACTTCTGGCAGGAGCAAACTATTCTCTTGAATATTAAAGTGGATGAGTCCCTGGGTCTGGATAGTAGATTAGAGTAGGACATGGAAGGTGATTACTATAATCCTTACAGACACATGTAATGAACTTTTTACTCCCTCTGACTATATATTCCCATATTTTCTTTAATAATTGCTCCATAATTCCTTATTATTTTGTTGCTAGTAGAGTTTGAGAAAGAGGCATCTGTGATCTTCATGATGTAGTTACTGCCCATTAAAACATGGTCAAAGTTTTAAAGAAAGCTGTTTTAAAATGATGAAAATGTCATGTCAGCCACATGGCTGCAATTTATCTAATCAGTAAAGGTTAATAAACTTAGAGGATGATGAGGACTTCAGACTTAATTACATGTTTATTCAAAACTGTTTTTGTGGCATATTTTTTGTGGAAATGCAACAGCTAAAAAGCTGCATGATTCAGAGGTTTAGTCTTGCTGACCAGATGCCTACTGAATTAATTGAATACTCCTAAATAATTAAAATAAAATAATGCATTAAATGTGATGAAGCATTACAGGTTGTCTAGGTCAAGGCAGTACTTGAGACATAAGATTGAAGAAAGGCTAGGATATTTTCCATTATCTTGTCTGCACATCATAATTATCACACTTGCCTTTTATGCATGAATGCTTTCATCTTTGGTTTCCATTGAAATCTTGATTGACTGTGGCACCTACAGATATTTTATCTGAAAGACATTAGACTTGCATCTAATAAAGGCAGCAGTTTGATTTCGCCCTTCAGCTGCTTTCTCATTTATGTAGTTTTTTTCAATTTTATGTAGACATAAATGTAATAAAAAATCTCAAGTGAGCTGTTATTGCAATTTTTAAACTGGTTGTTATGTTCATCTGTAATACCATAGAATCGTAAGGATTTTTGTTTGACAAAGTTGGTTGGAAAATAGAGGCAGAGCAGCAAATCATAAATGACAGTTTGGAAGATTTTCAGGTTCTTTAAATAGATTCCTTAATTGTATCGGCTATTTTAGAAAAGAGGCGACATCTATCTGAGCTGTTCAATTATGTTACACAAAGGGACTAAGGCAGAGTGTAATATACTGTAAGTAGTTTGTGAAGAATGTTTCAAAACTACAGTATATAGTATAAGCTGATCTACTTAATACAGAAGTTCATAACTACTATTTATTAATAAAATTATAAGTAGCTCTTGACGTGCAACTTATACAGAACTTGAGATATCCATATCTGTCTTTCTGTTTGTCACCTCACGGTTGCAAAAACTGAAAATTTGTGGTTGCTGAAGAGTTAAAGCTTTTGTCAAATGACAATTTTATTTTAGTCAAAGTTAGTAGAGATGGAAATGAATAGATAACCAACTTTAGATTATTACATATGCATAAGCATCAGTGTATAATAACACTCATTTCATTGCAAGTAGCACTTGCTATCTTCTGTGACTGTAATAGTCTGTACTTACACAGATTGTTACTGTCTTCCAGAGGTCACTATGACCATACATGCTCATCCTCCTAATGTTTCATTTTTCTTGCAGTTTGGAAAATATTAACTTTCAAAGGGTTAATACATTACGAATCGGTTATATGTTAACATTCTGGCTTGGGTGTGGCCTGGGGGGCAGGGGCAGGGCCTTGTGTGGGCGGGGGCCCCCAACCCCCCACTTTTGGGAGGGCTCCAGTGCCCTTGTTTCCAGTATGGTTCCACAGGGATTGGTTCTTGGCCCTATGCTATTCAACATTTTGTCAATGACCTGGAAGTAACTATAAAATCATCACTGATAAAGTGTGCAGATAACACAAAAATTGGGGGAGTGGTAAATAATGAAGAGTACGGGTAATTGATTCAGAATGATCTGAAGTACTTGGTAAACTGGGCGCAAGCAAACTGTGTTTTTAATATGAGTAAATATATACATCTTGGAATAAAGAATATAGGCCATACTTACAGGACTGGGCCTCTGTTCAGGGAAGCAATGACTCTGAAAAAGATTTGGGTCTTGTGGTGGATAATCACCTGAACATGAGCTCCCATTGTGACCCTGTGTCAAAAAGAGCTAATGTGATCCTGGGATGCACAAACAAGGAAATCTCAATTAGGGTTCAAGAGGTTATTTTACCTCTATATTTAGTACTGGTGCAACTGTTGCTGGAATACAATGTCCAGTTCTGGTGGCCACAATTCAAGAAGGTTGTTGGTAAATTGAAGAGGGTACAGAAAAGAGCCACAATAATGAGTAATGAGAAAACATGCCTTAGAGTGGTAGATCCAAGGAGCTCAATCTATTTAGCTTAACAAAGAGAAGGCTAAGGGTTAAGGGTTGATTTGATTACTGTCTATAAGTATCTATATCGGGGTGGCCAACCTGTGGCTCCGGAGCCACATGCAGCTTTTCAGAAGTTAATATGCGGCTCCTTGTATAGGCACAGACTCCGGGGCTGGAGCTATAGGCGACAACTTTCCAACGTGCCGGGGGGTGCTTACTGCTCAAGCCCTGGCACTGCCACAGGCCCTGCCCCCACTCCACCCCTTCCTACCCCCTCCCTGAGCCTGCCATGCCCTCGCTCCCACCTCTCCTCCCCCCAGCCTCCTGCACGCCAAGAAACAGCTGATCGGGAGGGAGGAGGAGGCGCTGATTGGGGGCTGCCGGTGGGCGGGAGGCACTGGGGGAGGGGCGGGGAGGTGACGGGGGGCTGCTGTCATATTACTGTGACTCTTTGGCAATGTACCTTGGTAAATTCTGGCTCCTTCTCAGGGTCAGGTTGGCCACCCCTGATCTATACGTTGAACAACTATTTAATAATAGGCTCTTCAATCTAGCAGAGAAAGACGTAACCCGATCCAATGGTTGGAAGTTGAAGCTAGACTGGAAATAAGGTGTAGATTTTTAACAGTGAGACAGCTTTTAAGTAAAGATTGGAGGTTTTTGTAAAAGAGATGCACCAGGAATTTTTTTGGCAAAGTTCTATGGCCTGTGTTATACAGGAGGTCAGACTAGATGATCACTGTGGTCTCTTCTGGCCTTGGATTATATGGCTCTATTAACCTATGAATCTGCATTTGAGATTGCCCTCAGAGGATATTTCAGTTCTGTTGTAAAGCCACAACTTTATTATGGGCCAGGTAGTTTTATTCTTACCCATGTTGAATAGTACCTTACACCACTAATAGTCTTGTTGGAGTCAGTGGGGATGCTAATGGAGTAAGGGACTACTCTTTTTGAGATAGTAATATCGCTATCTGGCTCTATATGATCATAGCAATACACTTTAACTGAAGATCCTGTGCAAGTGTTCCTTGTACTATGGGTTTGTTTTCCAGTTCTCCCTGACTAAAAACAAACAAATTGTAAAGCATTTGAGAGACTGCCTGATTCCCAGCTGTTAGACTGAGACTTTGCCATCCGATTTAGAGCCCTGTGCGATGTGGGTCACCATTCCCAAAATGAAAAATTGGGCCCTACAGCTGACAGTGCTCATTGTTCCCTAATGGTTTGGCTTATCTATCAAGCAAGAGGTAAATACAACCTTTGTCTCAGCTGATCCCAGTTGTGAGATTGCTCTCCCTCAATGTTTGAAACCTTTTGTGGCCTTAAGGTCCAGTGCCATACTGTCCTGTATACATGTATACTGCTTGCCCTCAGATGCAGCTAGTAATCTGCTTAGCAAATTGTCATTTATGTTTTCATAGAATCATAGACTTTAAGGTCAGAAGGGACCATTATAATCATCTAGTCTGATCTCCTGCACAACGCAGGCCACAGAATCTCACCCACCCACTCCTGTATCAAACCTGTGTCTGAGCCATTGAAGTCCTCAAATCATGGTTTAAAGACTTCAAGGTGCAGAGAATCTTCCAGCATGTGACCGGTGCCCCACGCTACAGAGAAAGGTGAAAAACCCCCAGGGTCTCTGCCAATCTGCCCTGGAGGAAAATTTTGCTTCTCATTGCACTCTGTCCACCTAAAAGTCACAAAGATCTTGAGCCAAGTCTGGACCAAGGATAACTATACTGGAAGTGATGTTGGAGAGATGCAGCCCATCCAAATAGAACAGCCCTAACTTGTGGGGAATCCAGTCATACCCGAAGGTCTGGCCACCAACAGTGCAAGTGAAATTCTTGTCTCACGGGCAATATTATTCCTGCTCTGGGACATCTTACTGGGAATGTTAGTGTCCCTTTACCCCTGCCATGAAAGAAGTTTTGAATACACCAGTCTGGTTCTTGGGAACACAGGAAACAACGGAACTCAATCCTGTTGCACTCCAACTTTCAATCATACACTTATCCATACCACCAAAGCATTGTACTAAATTTGTCTGTCCCTGATGCCTTAACCTCTTTAGGTATGTGCACTCAGTCACTGCCCACTGTTTTTTCCCCACCCTTGTGTCTTGAGCTGATTATGCTTTTACTATAGTGGATCTCAGTGTACAATTTATTTTATTTTATTTTATTTTTTTAATTCCAAAGAGGTTTTGATTTGATCACGCTCGGTCCCAATTGATTTCTTCTCCCTCCTCAAACCTTAACATCACTTTTTGACAGTTTTGTTAATCTTTTACAGGGTTCATTTCAATGTACTGTAAATTACTTTATTATGTTGTATAGCACCCTGGGCATTATAGCAGGTAGTTAGTGGGGCTTTTAAAATCAGGATTATTATGATTGTATTATATTGTCATGATTGCATCATGGCAACTGAAATGCATGTGCTGAGGCTCATTTGTATTTATCCGAGTAGCTCACTACTAGTTTGCTACCCAGCATTGCCAAATAAACTGGTGAAACTGCGTTGCGAGGGCTGCTGTTAAAAAAAAAGGTCTTTGGGTTTTATTTACAATTCCAAAAGGCAGAAAAAATTATATGGCTGTTGTTGGAAAAAATTAGTCAGCACTAAATTTTAATGAAATGTGACACAATAATTAGTCCCTTCAGATTCAAAGAAATCTTAATAGAGTTCCTAGTTCTTGTGTAGTGAAAGATCTGTATGACAACTTCGCATCTTAATTGAACTTCATATCCTTTATCTAAGAAACTTTGTGTTGTTGGGGTTGGGGAGTCAGCTAGAAAGGAATGCACAATTGATATGCTTATCAGAACCTGCCCAGGCAGACATGTTCAGGTGATTGTTCTGGAGCCTTTAAGAGACCCTAATAGACCTTAATGGGAGAATTGACATGGAGAATAAAACAGGTTGAGGGTGTAGATTGGGGCGGAGGGGAGGGAGACTGGTTATTCTGAGAGAATGTTGCCCTAAGTTTGTTCATTATTTTAAGACATGAAGAGTATTAAGATAGCTGAATTGGATGATTGGAAATGTCTTATTGTTAAAGAGTGAACATGCTCCAAAGAAATAACCATCTTTTTGAATGGCAAAAGAATCTCTGCATGTGCGCTCTCTCTCTCATATAGAGTTGACAGAAGAGTCCAGATATTATTTCAATGTCTTGTACCTAAGTTTAGTGCCAGTCCAGTAATGTTTTCTATAGTATTTTTAAGCATATATGTTTATTTTTACCTATCCTTTCATTTAATGATGTTTTCTCTCTGTTTTTATGCAGTTGCCAATAAAACATTTTGCTTAAGACAAATGGAATTCAGTTTGGACATTGTAATTTTTGGGCAGTTTTTGGTTGATGACCCACAGAGGACAAAAATTCTCTAACCTCTCAAGAGGCCTGGAGTGTAGACTTCTAAGCCTACTAATCTGAATCCCCCAGATTTTCCAACTCCCCATATTTTCCCCATAGATTCCTAAAGTTGTGCAGACATCAAGTGTCACTCTCTCTATAAATGAAATCTAGTAGTTGTTCTGAATTGATATAAAGTTTGTTATAAGGACTTGTTTTTACTCTGTAAAATAATATTGCTGATATACTCTCGTACACTGAAAACAAGACATTGTTTTCAAATGGCTTTACGTTTTTTTTTTCTCCCCATGTGACTGTTAATGTGAACTTGTAAATACAACTCGAAATTATTTTGCAGGACCCATTAGGAGTCCTTGGTGGAGCAGAATACCAATTGAGGACAAGATTTAAAGAAATAAGAGTCTAAAGTTAATCATCTAAATTTATTTTTAGACACCTAAACAGGGCTGGGCATCTTGGTCCCATTAGGTGCTCAGCATTTTTTTTTGAAAATTGGGTCTTGTATTTAGATGTCCAAATATGGATGTACCCTATTTATGAAAATATTGTCTTTAGTTTCCAACCCATTTAAATTTGAACTATTTTACATTGTACACAGTGATTTTGGTGAGATAATAGAGGATATAATTTTAGAGGTTCATTATAAATATAAATTATAAACTGATGCAGAGTATTTAATACACTGCACATTACCTTCCTTCAGTGGTTTTCCAATTTAAGTTAACTTATGGCCAGTCACCACATTTGTTTGGGCCCTGATTACAAATCCATATGGAAAGAGAATTAAATAGATTCTTCTTTCATCATTGATTTTAATTTAAAATGTAATTCATGTAATGTAGTACAAACCTACAGATTTTAAGTTTGATGGGTTCATTTAAAATGAACTGCTAAGAAATAGCTTTTAGTATTGGCATATCTGTTGACAACCTTCTCATTAATGATAAAATCCCTTAAAGAATAACGTGGAGTGTTACACAGGAGTTTAGTGGATGAATAAAATGGACTTTTATTGGCATGCACTTTCCTTTCTCTTTCATGCAGTGGTGTGGTGAGCAGATTTTTGTAATTAAATGGTAACTTATCCTAACTCATTTATCTATCATGTCCTTTATGTGTTCGTATATGAGAGAAAACAGATCAGAATGTGGTTATCATTGGGGAAAAATGACAATTACTTTTGTTATGTGACTATGACAAAGGGAAAATGTCTTTTGTCCCTGTAAGCCAGTTATATCATAAAATACAGATTGGTTTTTATTTGTTTATGTAAATACCATATTATGACAAAATTTACAAACTGTAATATTTTACCAACCCCTTCCATCCTGTTTCATTGTCATATACTTTTTTCTTTGCAGTAGAGCGTTCCTAATTGATGATTCCCTAGTTAACAAACCCATTAATTTTCATAAAACAGCAAACATTTCACCTTATATCTAATAGCAGAGTGCTTAGTGAAATATTCTATACTTAACTTGAGACAGTATGGTCTCTTGGTTAAAGCAGATGTGTGGAAGGTAGGACATCTGGATTCTGCTCCTGAATGGGCCCCAAAAAGTTGCTGTGTGACCATTGGAAAGTCATGTAACTTTTCTGTGCCTGTTTCCCTCTTTGTAAAGTGCTTTGGGATACTTGTATGATAGATACTATATAAGTGCAATGAATTATTGTTACTAAGACATCAATAATTTTGCAAAACATACTCTATAGTATATTATGAAGGTAGTATAAATAATAAACTAAATTGAAATGGCCAAAATGAATTATTTTGAAATGATCTTCCTTAGGTATTTTAAAATCATATATGTTTGCTTGATTGCTAACCATGTGAATTTCAGTGATCCTCAGTCATTAGTGCCATGTACTTTTCGCTTGTAAAGACTTTCTCATAACTGCTGATCACTGAGTAACTAGGACAAACAGAACTGTCTTCTTTATAATTTGCCAACTCCTCTCACCTGGTTCATTCAGTAATGTTGCAATCCAGTCTTTGTAGCACTATATTTTATTTCCATTATGTCACATTTTGATGTCACAAACCAGTTTCTGCCATCACTGAATGAACGGAGCAGGATGACTAGACTGAATACACTGGTCTACA